CCGTGTGAGGAACCCTCCTGACAACTGCATGCCACCACAGCACCGAGTCTCTTCTGAGTGAGGGACCATTCCGCAGCAGTCTGCCAAACATAGCTCTCACACAAGCGCCTCTTGGGAAACAGAGGTCACCATGACTACACAAACAGCGAGCCGTTAAACACAATTATAAGCTACACACACACACGCACAACAGTGCAGCGCAAGAGCTGAATAATGCACCACTAGGGAAAAAGAAGCCACATTTACAATGCATCCGCAGAACAAAAAAAAATGTGCACGCACACCTGCTGCACGCTTGTCAGCGAGTCCAAGAAGGCGATTCACTTCCACACAGAGAGAGGAGAAAAGGGGGCCATCAATACATTAATCACAGTCCCATTACTTCCTGACATCCCGCCAAGAGGCGCCCATTACCTCACCCAGAGCATGCTCCTTGCTAAAGCCCAGTCCTGACGCATCTCAGAAGAATGATGCCTCAAGACAAATTGCCTGCTGGCCTTTTTAAGCTGTAAACGTCCATCTTATCAGAGCCAAAAGCACAATTGTGTAACCTTTACTCCAGTGGCTCCCTCCACTTAATACAAGCTTATTCTGCATTACATTGACATCGTTTCCCCACAATTGACAGGTACTTCACATCAGATACCTTGCATACCATGTACATTCCCATCTGTCCGTTTTGTTTGAATCTTTTTGTTTTCTTATTTCAAATGCAGAGATTTGTGTTGTCAAAAACTGATTTTTATGGGCAGGCAGACAGGGTTTCCACCGCAGAACTGGGAAAGGACCCTCTAGTTCAGCAAGCCCCACATCAGTGTTGGCACAAATGTTCACAAGGATGCTAAGGATCTTTAAAATATACACCTTTACATCCTGCACACCAGGCCTACAAGCCTACAAATATGAAGACAAACCTCCTAGCAATGCACGGACCTGGTTATACATTTATTCATTTAACCAAAATTAAATGAGGATTAATCATAAAATGAAAGATCAAAAATGAAAACCTTTCACTCACTACTTGAAAAACCCGAAGCTCAGAAAAATGACAAGATCTGTAAGACATGGCTAAAACTGCAGCAGGTAAGTCACACAGCCTGTCTCAGCCTAAACATGAATTACAACATGTGAATAGTGACAAGCTGAACCCAAAGAACTGCTCTTCAAAACTCCTAAAAGAAAAGGAAGCACTAAGGATTTCTTCCTTAGTGCTTCCTATTCTTTTCAGCATTCCTCACTGGAAGATCCTTTGCTACAAAAACACCTTTTTAAGGTAAACAAAGAAAGAAGGGAAAAAAAATCACATAATTGCATTTCCTCTTCTGCCTCCTCCTGCTCCCCCGAGTCCAGCACTAGACTAAACACCACGCTCAGCTGCCCTGCGTCTGATTGGTGATGAAAGACGAATGCTTGACAACTGCTTCGAACAAAAACCTCACTTTTTCCACCAATTAGAAAAAAAATGGTCCAAAATATTATCCAGATTGGCATGTAGCGTTGAGCAATTCCTGTCAGTTAGATGAAATAATTTCGGAGCGCCATGCCAACAAAAACAACTGCTCTTTCTTGCTTTCATTGTCAGCACTTGAGGTTTATGTAAAATTTCATCTGCTGCCAATTTTTTTTTCCCCCACCTCGCTCTTCATCCTCCCCTCTCCGAGAAAATGGCCGCTTGGAAGGATGTCTTGGCGACACTTCCAGCTCCGGTGGCCACAGGTCTGCTTAAATGTCCACAGGGCCTGGGACAGTTCAGGCTCGGGGGTCCTGCCGAGTCGAGAGGAGAAGGCTGATGGGGTACTTTGTGCTGTTCTTGTTTTTCTGTTCTCAGTGCGAACCCCTATTGCTTCTCAGTGTAGAGTCAGACAGCTGTCTCTAATAAAAGGCACTTGGCAATATTTATTCAGGTACAGAGACGGAGCCGGGACCCCTCCCCCGGTCAGGGCCTGCGGTTTGAGGGCAGGGTAGGCGGGGGGGGGGTGGTCGGAGTGCAGGGATTACACTTTAATCAGAAACAAGTCTCTCCGCTGACAGCGCCGGCCTGCCTGCAGTTTGCAGGCTCTCTCCCAGGCCCTGAGGACGGCGCAGGCCAGACCGGCCGCTGGCCAGTTAAAGAGCAGCCTGCCGAGGTGCCCCGCGGGCTCTCCTCCAGGAATCACTGCCCCCCTTTCATGTCCGTGTGAGAAGGTACACTGACTAAGACAAACGGCCCTCTTCTTGGAAAAAAAAAAAGAAGAAATAAATAACTTGTCGGGTCTGCGGTTCAACAGCAACGCGCTTTTTCATCTTGTGGGTCATCGTTGTTGTTGTTCAACCTCCCCCCCCTACACACACACACACACACATCAGACACACTGCTTGTCACACAGGGGTTACATTCTCCGCAAGACCTCTGGGGAAGCAGGGGTGGGGTCTTCCAAAAATGAAGTTTTAGCCGAGTTGAGCACGTCTCAATTTGGACCAGACAGGCCGGCCGTCCACAAGAGCCGACGCGCGAACAAACTCGCTCTTTCTGAACGGCGAAGTGCCTGCGCTTCACAAAACTCAAGGCTGGCTAAGAAGAAGGAAATAAAAGTCATTTAGCACGGGGTGCAATCCGAGAGGGGGTTTCGAAGTGATGAGCCCATGCTGCTCGTTACAGAGCTCTGCCGCGGCGGCCCGTGAGACACGAGCAGGGCTGTGAAGATTCAGGGGCTGGTCCACGCCCACCAGCTGAGCCCCTCCAGCGCACAGCACAACTGTCAGCAGTCACCCGAGCACCAGTCCTCTGAAGACCTCAGCCCCGACAAAGGCTCTTACGAAGCAGTGGCCCCGATTCCTTTCAAGACACAGAGACGTCTTGTTGACGGTCAAGTTGCACACACTTTACTTTGGGCCAGTCACACTGAGGCATCAGCTTCTTTTTGCAAATCCCACTGTCCTTACTAGCATTTCACAGACACCCTGTAAAGACCATTTCCTTTATTTATTTTACTTACCTGGACCACACTTCAGCCGTGCCACACATGCTTCTCAAGCTAATGCACGGTTCTAAAGGCTCGTCACGAAAACGAAGTGGGCTGTGGAGGAGGGTGGGAGTGGTCCCTGTCAAACTGTCCCAGTTCTGCTTTCATTATCATTCCGGATGAACAAAACTCAGAAATTCTCTCAGCACTGATATAAACGATTGGAATCTCCTCCCTTTTTTTTACTCTCTCAATTCATCCTGGCTGAGGAAGGAATGCTGCTGGAGCGATGCTTTCGGCGTTACTCCAACTGAAAATGGTCTTGATTTTTTTTTTTGGTCCATAAAACTGTTTACTGCTCTATTTCTGCCCTATAGGACAAACCAGTTCGGTTGGTTCAGTAAAACTGAACTCTCCCCCACTGAGGCCCTAAGCACGAAATTCTGTTGGCTCCCTAAACCAGAACAGAGTGCCTCAGGCAAGTCCAGAGGAGCTAAAAATTGACCTGGTAAAAACAAATGGTATGTTGAGTTTCCATGGCAATACAGTGCAGCTCTGGAGGCGAGCCGGGCTGCGGCTGCGTGACGCAATTACATTTAACAACTGCCTCATAAACCCGAGATATTGCTATGTGATGATTCCAGCTCCACGATAACCATGTCAGTTTTTGACACAGTGGGAGCGCAGTGATCAAAGAGGAAGCAGCTTCCAAAAACCCATCCAAACCGCTGAAGGAACGGCTCGGAAGACAAGGGGTGGGGAGGAAGACGAATTGTTAACACCGCCCCCAGCAGACGGGCCGGGCCTGGATCCCTAGACTGGACCGGACCGGACCGGACCGCGGGGCTGGGAGCGCCCGTCCTCTCTCGCCGCTCTCGCTCAGACACGCACACTGCGCTTGCCATCTCCAGTCACCCCACCACAGGCAGGCCCGGCGCTCCGAGCTGACCGGTGCTCCGTGGGCCGGCTGGCATCAGCGGGGGTGGAGGAGGGGAGGGGGGGGTGCATCCCACCTCTTAAACCCGGCCCGAGCGACAGCAGCGGGGAAGTAAAAAGGAAGCAACTTCTGTTTCATCCGCTTCACAGTAACAACACTTCAGATCAGGGGGGTCAAACTCTATGGCTGGAGGGCCCGGTGTCATCTGGGCTTAGCTCCAGCCTGAGCAGTCAATTAAACAATTAACGTAACTATTTTCTTAGGCATACATCACTGCTGTCGATTCCTCAAAACATTTACTTCATTAAAGGTGCTGGTATCTATAAGTCTCCAGAGCCTGGTTACAAGTGTTAAAGCCATGCAGACAATGATATCATTACTAAACTAAGTATAACTAAAGACTGAGGTAGAACAAAAACTAGAACATGCCAGGCCCTACAGCATCTCCAGAAGTTTGAAACCCGTGCTCTAGTTGAATGTGGTTCTGACTTATCCTTTGTCTTCAATGTACTGACCAGAAAAAATGGTGAAAATTGAAAAAAAAAAATGTTCCGATCATTTTGGAAGCTAATCCAGATTTCGGATTATTGTGTGCTATATGGTACAGAAGACAGAAATTTGAAATAAATAAAAGTGTTATTCTGGACTTATGGGGGGAGGGGGGTTGCTTTCCCCGTGCCAATGTAAAAGACTGTTCTATTATTAAACCACAACCCTCTTTTCATCTTTCAAATGCATCACTCTGACATGCACCAGATGTACTTGAATGGTTAATCATCTTGTTTTAATGAGCTCCAGCGCCAAGGTTCTCCCTTCAAGACCAAATCAGCTACTCGGGGGGACAGAAGGACAAGCCGCCGTGAGTTCAACCAGCCCCAAAGAAAGAGGGCGGTGACCCGCTCCTGTCGGAGGCAGGGCCGCGGGAGCAGAGGGGCAATGCTGAGCCCGGGAGGAGACGGGAGCACGGCTGGTCACATCAGCGCCTGTCCAAAATTAGCTGGGTTTCCGTTCAATCCACCTCTCACTCACACACCCTGATTCATAAAGCAGGGGCACACGGGCCCAGACACTACAAAGAAAACCAAAGTCAGGGGCATCAAGTGTGGCTGTGGATTCCTTACCCTAGCCTGCACAGACTCTCCAGCTCGGGGACCTCAGGCCCCTGGGTTTCTATGCGCAGTGGCTCGTATTTGTACAGCACCTCCTCGATGCGTGGCAAAGGCTGGAGGGAGATCTTCTGGCTCTGAAAAGACAGAGGGGGGGAAACACGACACTGATTAAAAATGACCCGTGTGTCATACACGGTATAGAGACCTGACCTTCATCTTAAAAAAAAAAAAGTCAGAGGAAAAAGCTGCAGGGACCAAACTGTCCTTTTGCTAAACATGTCCTGGTTTCAGGATTCCAAACAACCTGAATAATCTTAAGCTACTTCAACAAACTGTATATGATGTACAAACCTACTCAATGAATTTGATGAGCAAGCAGGAAGTAATGCAACCAATAAGCGAATATCGCATGCTTTCAGGTGAGACTGTGAAGTCTCGGGGAGAGCCTGTTTAATTTTGATGGACAGAACCAAGCTGTATCAATTGTGGAGCCGCACAGAACACACAGCTCAGCACGGCCAGCCACAACACCACCTGCAGGGCCTCATAGCCAAAAGACAACAATGGCCCGACTGCGGGTGATCATTCACCTTTCATAAATTCTAGTAAGGTTACGAAGCAGAGGCCAGCCACTAGTTAACTGGTCTAAGGATCTCATTCGGCCTTTTTTAAAAAAGGGTTTCAGTTTCAACAACATGGCTGAGGAGCTTGTTCCACACTCCCACAACCCTTTGCAGGAATGAGCGCCTCCTGTTCTCAGTTTTAAATTACTTCCCACTTAGTTTCCAGTTATTTCCCCTGGTTCGCGTTTCCCTGTTGATGGTGAGGAAGTCTGCTGGGTTTGCTTTGTCAGCGTTTTTACCTGAGTCTGGTCCCCTTGTAGTTTTCTCAGTTCAGGACTTCAAAACCACCAAATGCCGTTATTATCTTACAAGAGCTAGCTGAGAGCAAGCAATGTCCTTGCATATTATCCCTGTGCAATGAAGGACTTGTTTTTTCGTGAAGTTACACCAAACCACACACACCTCAATTAAACTGACCAAGTTTCATTTTATGTGCAAAGCTTGTAAAAGAACAAAAAATAAATCTCCGGCATCTGTTTCTGTAAAATTTCAGTTTTGCACATTTGAGCGGAAGCCAGGATTCAGCACGACGAGGGGAATTTCAAGACAATACTGAACTATTTTGTTGGCAGCAACAGCTCTGAGCAGAAGGCAAGAAAATGTTTGGACCACAATCAAAGGATCAAACATTGAATCGAGTCAAAACAAACCAGAGGCAAACGGGTCGAAATGGGAGACTACAGAGGTCTAGATGGAATTTTAAGCACAGACGCACAAAAATCAGTAAGTGAAATGCCACAATGCCAAATAAAAACACTGAAAGGTCAGGTACTGTTTGAATTAGTTTGAGGTGCTACTGCATGGGGTAAAGGGAGACTACTGGGGGGTCACGTGAGCAGACAAGGGCTGAGTGCAGACAGGGCCGCGAGGTGGATACCATGCCATTCAGGGAAACACACCCTGACACTGCACAGAAGAGAGGAAGAGCGGAGAAAGAGAATCAGGAAGAAACGGAGAGAGAAACGAAAAAAGGAAACAAAAGAAGGGAGGCAGAAACTGGAAGAGAGAGGCAAACACAAGGAAACAGCAGGGAGAGACCGAGGACAGGCGAAACAGAAAAAAAAGGGAGAGAAAGGAGGGAGACAGAGCAGTAAATCTCCACTGTAAACAAACAAGAGGAGCTTGGAAGAAAGATGTTCCTACTGCACATGCTCAGCATTTACGTCGGGTAGGGTCACCTTGAAAACTCCCAGCCCAACCTCTGTGCTACGCAAGCACACAGCCGCTGTCAGCAATAACACAGAGCTCATCAGTAAAATCAGCGCGCCACTGCACGTGCTCTGTCACTGCCTCAACAGCAGCACGGGGATTTTTAGCCAAACTGTTGCACCACATGCACACAGCAGATGTCTCAGCAATAAGACACCACAAGATCACGGCGCATCAGGATCCCACTTCCTGCTGCTCTGGAGAGATGCTGTTGACCCTCCAGCAGCCCTTGCGATAGTACTGGTCCCCCCTCGAATGCTACGAGAGACACCCAGCCCTGACAGGAGGCCTGGCACAATCACAATCCTGGGAGGCAAGACCCTTTACATCACTTTGCTGCAATTATTCTGATAAACGCCACAAGGTCAGGGAGGTCAATTGCTGAACTATCCACGACAAACCCAGAGGGGAGAAGCCTAAGTGCAAGAAAAACTACAATTTAAACGGGAAACACAAAACCACACTCTACTGAGTTGGTGGAGAAAATCTTAATTTGTCTAATGACATCATGGGGTCCGGAATGGCCACTGTTATCTGTGCAATTGATTAGACGGTGTTTTCTCTGAGCGCCAATAAATTCAACGGGCCTGTCCACCCAACCACAGAACGGACGAGGATGGTGCCCCACTCATTCTCTCAACAGCGCTATAGTGACCCCTGCTGGTCTGCCTGTGCAGGAAGATAATGGCACTGTTGAGGACCCAGCACCGAACTCTGTAGATCACTTGCCCAAGTCTGCCACAGCTAGCCCCAAGACTTTTAATGTCTCATTCAAATCTGCATCCTGCAATGTGCAAAAGATCAATGCTGCGCTTGACGGTTTTCCCACACCTTCATATATCCGGCAATTTGATTTTAAAAAGATAAATACATCTCATATTTTCTTTAGAGTACTTACCTACAGTCTGCTTTTTACATTCATTTATTATTATTGCTGTCTAAGTGTCTAATATATCTTTAGAATACTTACTTACAGTCTGCTGTCTAAGTGTCTAATATATCTTACCTTAATCCCTGAAATCGCTGAGCAGTGAACACTATCTTCAAAATAAAACAGACCTGCACTCAAAAGTTGATTCACCCTATAAATCCAATTGTTAATAAAAGTCATTTTTTTATTTGTAAATTCGACTTTTTGTAATAGAGCTAAAACGTTCAATTAAAAGGGGCTGAGAACTGACACACAGACATTTCAAAAGGCGGTCTATTGAAATGTCAGCACATATACGCCACATGTAAGACAGTAACATAACTCCATATTCATAACAGTCAACAGTAATGGGGTCTTTCACAGCAGTGGAGCACTAAAAATGATGATACTTTTCTCTCCATTAAAACAGATGCACAGACTGGGGAGGAAATAGGATTGATAAATCCTAGTCCCCAGGGACCAGTGCATCTGCAGGTTTTCAATGGCTATTTATAGCACCGGCACCTTGACTCAAGAGATGGAATAGTTGTTAAAATGGCGCAATTAAGCCAAAATGAACTGAAGGAGGTTTGTTAGGAACTGAGTTGGAAGACATTCCCGTAGACTCACTGGATCTCAGAGACCAAGACTGGACAGCCCTCCATTAGAATCACAAAAGGCTCATGACCAAGCTCAAGCATAAATCAATATCACAATAGAAAACCGCACATCTGACTATTGCAAAAACATAACAAGAATCATCCAAAATGCCCTGCTCTCTAAAAACTGAACACCACAAAGCTATAAGAGGGATGCTGCAGGCCAATTGGTCAATTAGCATTGAAACCTGTGCCAAAATCCACCACACTGCCATTGTTAGGAACTACTTAAGAACAATGGCAAACCGCTCTGTATTGTTAAAACATTTTCAAATAGTTTTGTAAAAGCAATAAACATTTGAGGCCACAAGCTGAGCTGGATATAAATAGTGCTTAATTGGTCCCAGGCATGATGCACAACAACAGATCATCTCAGACGTTACTGCTAAATCATCCACAAACAGCACGCTCACACAGATGATGTCCTATACTACACTTCTGGTGTTGAATACAGACTCTAATCCAGCAGTTAACAGGCAGCTGGTTAGCAGAACTTTAAGGCGACTAGCCAGAACAGCCCTTCATAGTACAAGACAGGTTAAGAAACAACTAAATGTGTTGGGAGATATGTGTTCTTTATATAACCACACATAAAAATTGAAATCATAGCTATAATACTGTGTAGCTATTTCATATAGACTACCAGTAAGCAGAAGAATTTAAAAGTGTTTTAATGTACTGTTAATTTACTATATGCAATAAAATATTAATTGCAAATAAAAAAAGAAAGTTCAATATTCTGAGCATCCACACCCTGGCATTCACCAACTGATGGGACCACAGACAATGGCAAATGAAATATATTTAGCAGACGAACAGCTCTTTTCCCAGCCAGTGAGAAATCTTCACGTACCAGAGAGAGCTGCAGCGTCAGCGAGAGGACTGAGACAATGGCACACGATAAAAATCTTGCAGAGCAACAAAGAAACTGGTTTGAGTTTTGCTGCAACAAGTTCCTGACACAACTATAACCAGGAACTGAGGTAGGGGGGTGGGGGAGGGGGAGGACTGTGAGAGAAACCGCACTGTCTCCCCGAACAGGGGCAACCCGGCATTTCCCAATTGAACAGGTATCAAACTATCAGTCAGTTTCATATTTTTCCTCCACTTGCTAGTGGTCCAGCGAGGTTTTGGAGCCCCTTTTTAAATCCTCTACAGTGGGGCCAAAGTGAGACAAATGCTGAGAGATGAACTGCACACCGGCAGATGGGTGAACTAAAAACGCTGAAGAAAATAAAAATAATTCACAAACAGGACAGCGAAGGTGGGACTACAGCCAAAGAGCACAGGGCTGGGAAGAGCTATCAGGCTGGTGCGAGCTCTGAACCAGAGACCCCCGTCGCAGCATTTTGTCTGCACGTATAATTGCTTCACATCTTGAAGAATGTGAATATCGTGTGAATGATGGCAATTTGTTTTCATAAGCTGCCTCTTCTATCTCCGTATTAGTGTTTTTGCTATGTGCATGCAAACCACTGCACTTGTCTTGTAATTGTCTTAATTTCATCTGCTGCTTCTAGACTGTTTGCTAATCTTCCTGGTTTGGTATCATCTGGAAACTGGACTAGTTTATTGTAATAAACTATATAAGAGTGTACATACCACTGATAATAACTATTTCCAAAGATTAAAAGATCATTACGATAAGCTCTTATGAAATTTCAAAAGGCAGTGAAAGCCCAATTTAACTGCAATGAAACCTATTCACCATTTATACAGTGCTCCGAATTATT